ACTTATTAGCATCTATTTTTCCATAGAAGAAGTTTTCATAATATGTCTAATTATGTTTGCATCTAAATTGATATTACAGAGTCAATGTTTATTCCGACTATATCTCGATTAAATATTTTAATTAATTAAAAGAGAAATTAGCTATAATATTTGTTTTTTTTAAGATCAAATTAAATTAATTATTTTTTCCGATTCACATGATCTTAATATCAAATAAGGTTTTCCCTTATATACTACTACTAACTAATAGCAATCTTAAATACTGAAAAAATTACTTTGTGGGTAGATCACGGGCAAGAATATTCTAGGTTCTAATTTCTAAATATTAAGAAAAATATCAAATGTTAATTTTAGAGAAAACATAAATTATTATTCTTAAATTTTAACAATACAATAAATAATTTTTTTTTTATCTATCATAGAATATCTAAACACAAAACTTATTATACACTTAAAATCGTATATTTTCCTCTTTTGAATGTTATGTGAAATTAATTTCTTTTAAGAAAAAAACCTTGAAGATTTATTCATATGATGAGATCTCTCGTAAATATAGTAGTATACTTCTACGATCCTTCTTTCTTTACTCCTAATCCGTTCCTTTTAGGGCGGCTTAGTATTATATTATTATAATTTAACACTATTTGCTTGTGTTAAATTAGGGTATTTATCATCCTTCTTACTGCAAATCTTACACAAAGATTTTCACTTTTCTTGATTTTCAGATTAGTTTTCTTAAACAATGGCTTAAGTGATTAGCTAAACAGATTAAGCTTGTTTGTCCTTTTCTGACCCTTTTCAGGGTTTTTGGTTCTTGATTCATATATATAGAAAAGAACAGATTTTTTTTGGTTACCTCTCTCACAAAAATCATTCTTCTTCCCCATACCTTATCCCTCTAATCTCTTTCTCTTATGTTCATCTGTTAAAGTTCCAATCTTTTGAGTTCTCTTGGACTTTGCAGAGAAAGAGGGAGAGAGAGATACAGAGAGAGGTCTAAATGGAAGGTGTTTTACAAACAAGAGGGCTTCTTTCTTTGCCTTCTAAACCCAAAATCAAGGCTTTTTACCCATTGCCTCAAGGGGGTCTAAGGAACAGATTCAATTCTTTAAGTAGTTTAAAGCCTAATCCTCTTAATGGGGTTTCTTTATCTTCAAATGGGTTTCAAAAAGTTCAAGGCTTTGACACAAAGCCTCAGTTGTTTGGCCAAAAGAAGAGGTGTTTTCCAATATGCAAAGCTGAGGCTGCTGCTGCTGCTGGTGCAGCTGATGGACAGCCACTTTTTGTTGAAAAGGAGCAACCTAAGTTTATGGGGATTGAACTTGTGACCCTTAAGAAAATTATACCACTTGGGGCGATGTTCTTTTGTATTCTGTTTAATTATACAATCCTTAGGGATACTAAGGATGTGTTGGTTGTAACAGCTAAAGGGTCCAGTGCTGAGATTATCCCTTTCTTGAAAACTTGGGTGAATTTGCCTATGGCTATTGGATTCATGCTTTTGTACACAAAGTTGGCTAATGTGTTGTCAAAGGAGGCTCTTTTTTATACTGTTATACTTCCTTTTATTGCATTCTTTGGGGCGTTTGGTTTTGTTTTGTATCCTCTTAGCAATTACTTTCACCCTACAGCTTTTGCTGATAAGCTTCTCAATACCCTTGGTCCAAGATTTCTTGGACCAATTGCTATTCTGAGGATCTGGAGTTTCTGCTTGTTCTATGTCATGGCTGAGCTTTGGGGAAGTGTGGTGGTTTCAGTACTCTTTTGGGGATTTGCTAATCAGGTAAATTTGTGTCCATGAATATATTTTGTACATTAATAACCATTTTTTGGATGCATAGTCTTGTTGTGTGGATAATATGTTTAGTTAGATTCTGATATTATCTAGTATTTGCACATTACCTCTTTGTTTCTGGATGGTTGCTGCTGCAATTTTGCGAGGTAAAATCGATCTCTTTATAGCAGGACCAGTCTGATATTCATGTGGTACCAGAGCCTGCCTTCTTGGTGTTCTTTTATAGCATAAGGGTGAAATTCTCTAATATAAGCTATAATGGTGGATGACTTAGCGAAGAGTTCTGTTTGTGGTGCAGTTGTGCTCACTGAGTCTTGACATATTGGCAGCATCATTTTGGTCTGCTGTTTTCTTAGTTGCAGTTGGTCATACAAATATGTAAACCTTTCATTCTGTTCCCCTGCTGTTATTACCATTCTAACAAATGTTCTGGCTAGTTATAATATGATCATCAACATATCTATATGTCTGTAATCACTACCCTTGAGCTTTGGCCGGGGTAACTTTTAGTGAACGTACCAGTGATTGTTTTGGATGATTTTTTGCAGATCACGACTGTCGATGAGGCTAAGAGATTCTATCCTTTGTTTGGACTTGGAGCGAATGTTGCTCTTATTTTCTCTGGTCGCACAGTGAAGTACTTTTCTAGCTTGAGAAGCTCTTTAGGTCCTGGAGTTGATGGTTGGGCCATCTCCCTGAAAGGAATGATGAGCATTGTTGTGATGATGGGTGGGGCAATCTGTTTCTTTTACTGGTGGGTGAATAGAAATGTTGCTCTCCCAACTCGTAGCAAGAAGAAGAAGGTAAATTTGCTAAACCATATGTCATTGCTTTGCAATAGGCAACAGTTACTTCCAAATCAACTAGTTGATGGTAGAATAAACTACTTATCTTTTAGTTTTTCTTATAAAGCACTGTCTCACATTAATTCGTTTCTGAGAAGCAGATGCACACATCTTTGTCCCTCGTCTATCACTTTTACTAAAACGAAGATTTGTTTCTGGTTAAATCTTTTCAAATTATTTATCAATTGTGCTCTTCAGATTTTATACCTAGAGTTTTAAATTAAAGAATCATGTTTACATATTTGCATTATCTGACTGATGTCTTTTGTCAGGTAAAACCTAACATGACCACAATGGAGAGCTTGAAGTTCTTGGTCTCTTCAAAATATATCAGGGATCTTGCCACATTGGTTGTAGCATATGGCATTAGTATCAACCTTGTTGAAGTTACATGGAAGTCAAAGCTCAAAGCTCAGGTGAATTATTACTGACTGCTATTTTTTTCATTATAAGTTTGGAATTCAGATTGTTTCTCATTTTGACATGCTATCTCATACGTTCTCTCTCTGTATCACTAATGTGCAGTTCCCAAGCCCCAATGAATACTCCTCATTCATGGGTGACTTCTCAACTGCTACTGGAATAGCAACTTTCATAATGATGTTGTTAAGTCAATGGATTTTCGACAAGTATGGGTGGGGAGCAGCAGCCAAGATAACACCTACAGTCTTGCTCCTAACCGGAGTTGGTTTCTTCTCCCTGCTTTTGTTTGGTGCCCCTCTAGCACCTACTCTTGCGAAGTTTGGAATGACTCCTCTTCTAGCAGCTGTCTATGTGGGTGCAATGCAGAACATTTTCAGTAAGAGTGCAAAGTATAGTTTGTTTGACCCCTGCAAAGAAATGGCCTACATTCCTTTGGATGAGGACACCAAGGTATAATGATGTACTTGATATATACTTTTAACTTTATGGTATCAGTGCTCTAGAAAGAGCTCTTGGGAGTGCTAATTATATTCGCATCAGTGCAATCATGCCTTCATGTAAGAAATGAAATTTCAAACACGTGTAGCTGAAGCCTTTATGTTAGCGATACATATACATGCTTGGTGATGTATGTCACTGACATGACAATATCTGTTTTAGTTATGTATGACCAGAAAAGTCATAGTATCACTTAACAAGCCAACTGTTTTCTCTGAAAATTAATATGGAGTAATTTCCTGTATCAGGTTAAAGGGAAGGCAGCAATCGATGTTGTCTGCAATCCACTGGGAAAGTCTGGAGGAGCTTTGATACAACAATTCATGATTTTGACTTTTGGTTCACTTGCCAGCTCGACACCCTACCTCGGCGGTGTGCTCTTAGTAATTGTTCTTGCATGGTTGGGAGCAGCCAAGTCTTTGGATGGACAGTTCACTCAATTACGCCAAGAAGAAGATCTTGAGAAGGAAATGGAGAGAGCATCGTTGAAGATCCCTGTCGTGTCTCAAAATGAAAATGGAAATGGTCCTCTCTCAAGTGGGTCATCACTAAATCCCGCTGGAGGTGACTCTACCAACGCTTCATCAGAACCCTCCTCCCCAAGGAGCCTGTAATATCATTATTAAGATCACTTGCAGAACAAGAGGAATAAAAAGCGAACAGAAGATGCGTCAGGTGGTATCTTGGTTGCAGTCCGACTATGAACTGATGTTGTCAAATCTTTGTTGGTTATAGGAATTTGTTTTTAATCAAGAGAAATAAATTTAGATACAAGAGAGGCATGTCACCAAATTAGCCACCCTGCCATCCCAATATTTATTTTATTTCCTGGTAGTTACATTTTTTTCTCAGTTTTGTAGCGCTCCGAATTCTCGTTGAACAACTTTCTTTTGGCAATGTAAGCATGTGTTGTTTCTCCAGAAACTTTGTTCTCTTGGTAATGCTTTTATCCGACTCAAGAATGTTTCATGACACTTTTGTCAAGGAGGTTGTGCATGAGATTAGTGAAGAAGTTTTTCTTTTTTTTCTGCTTCTAACTTGAGTAAAATATTCTCTGGCTCTTGCATCTTCGTTCCAATCTGAAAATCAAGTTAATTCAACAACATACCTAGTGAAATCCCACAAAGTAGGATTTGGGGAGGGTAAAGTGTACACATACCATACCACTACCTCGTGGAGGTAGAGAGACTGTTTTCGAAACATAGTAATAGTTAATAATTCAAAATATTAAAGAAAAGGTGAAAAAAGTTCAGGTTAAAGAAAAATTGTTTGATTCTGTGAATAGTTACACATTCTCATGAAGTTTGGCTATGCACAAACAAAAGCATCCATTTGAATGGTTAGAGATTTCTGAACTTGTCGAAAAGTTTGGTTGGAGGAGTGGTGAGAGTAGGTGGTTTTTTTCTAACTTGTTTGTGAGGATGTTGAATCCCTTTCTAATGGAATACTTGGGGTTGCTTGTGTTGCTTGCTGGTACAGAATTGGCAATGACATCAAGCGATGTGAATATAAAAGAAGAATCTTGTGTGAACTGTGGTGTTTGTTTGTGCCGCTTTGTCATTAGCAAGATGCAATGCAATGTATTTGTGTGATATTCTGCTATGTTTTGCCGTTGAAATCGAGGCAAGTTGATTGGAAAATACTACTTATTTGCACCCAGAGTTCTGAATTGTTAAACATTGAAAAACAGCCTGCTTTCTTGATGTTGATTCATTTGGCTTTAGGTATTGTCTTTCTTTACTCTGCAGGCTGTGGAACTTTGTAATAATTGTTTACTTGGTTCTACACAAGGTTCTCATATGTCATTATCAAAGGAAAATTACATAAATAAATGTAATTATGAAGACAGATTCCAAGTCTCAACTTTATTTGGTTGCAGACAAAGCACTAGTTATTCAATTCCACCTGAAGAAAAAGATTTCCTTCTTCAACATGGCGATTCTTCTTTCATTCCGCTTCCTCCTAGTTCTGGCTGTCTTAATGGTTTTGCTGATTTCTGCTCAATCATTTTCAGATCTTGAACCTTCAGAGGAGCATGAGGAGGTCAAAACCATTTGCAAATTTAAACGCCTCGCAGAAGTTGAAAGAGAGTGCAAGCCTGTTTTATCAGTGTCATCTAAGATGAAGCTTGGAAATGATAAAATATATAGTTTTGCTAAAGACCTCTCTTTTCAGAATGGAGACTGGGTGCAAGAGGCTGGCAGTGCACCGTTGATGCCATTTAATGAGAATGATATGCCAAAGAACTTTTCTGGTATTGGTTCCACTCTGAAACTTGCTTCTTTCTGGTTAATGGGCATGGATTTTAACCGGCAAGCAGATGATGTATTGGGTATCTGTGGCATCTTATCCATCGCAATTACGCGGAACAGGACTCTTTCAGACATGCCACAAAGATGGTCTCCTTGGTTCCATACAAGCCCTGGCTACTCTGATTTGACAATCATCTTTGAAGGACTCTATGTTGAGGAAGCCAATGGAGGAGACCGCCTGATGTGTTTATTAGGGACTACAGTGTCCCCTTTTTCCAAAAGTTCTGTAGATCCTTATGAATGGTCCTCAAAATACAATTGCAGAAAAGTTTTCAGTATTCATTCGTGAAGGATGATAGGATAATGCTTATTCTTCGATACCCTGAGATCTTCACTTTGACTAGTAGAGCAATTCTTGGTGAGTTGAGAAGTCTAAATAAGAAGTCAGATCCTAAATATTTTGACGAGGTCCAAATTTCATCACAGCTGAGCTATGACTCGAAATATCATTTTGTATCTGAGCAACTTGTATCTAGAGCTTGCAATCCATATTCATGTCATGAACTTCCTGATAACAGAATTCAAGTCCACAAAGCGTCACAGTTTTGCAAAGTTCTTCAAAAATTTGGTTCTGAAACATTTGACATTGATGTGGCTTCAGAGTGCCATGACATGAAGCATTGCAAGAATCTAGGACCATTTGTGCATGACTGGGAGATCACTGAAGGCAATAATGCTATGTCCAACAAGTTTAAGCTCTTAATTACAAATTTGCGTTGCTTACCAGAAACCAATTCCCCTAAGACTGCAAAAGTTTCTGCTGTCTTCAGAGCGCTCTCTCCTTCAGAAGATCGCTTCTATTCAGGATCAAGAACCGGTCTTTCTGGAATGACAATATCCGCGGAAGGAATATGGAATTCTTCCACTGGTAACCTCTGCATGGTTGGTTGCATTGGCCTAGAGAATGATGCTGATGGATGTGATTCACGAATCTGCTTGTACTTACCTGGCACATTTTCAATCACTCAGCGAAATGTTCTTTCTGGAACCATCTCTAGCATAAAAGAGACTTATGTTCCTTTACGGTTTAAAAAGGAACTCCGTCCTCTCGACATCTGGAACACGTATCATGATTACTGTAAATCCTACTTATCCTACAGGTTTACAAGAATTGAGATGTTAAGGGCCTTTATGCAGAAAGACAACAGTTACAATTTGGGGATGCTGATTACGAAAATAATCCACAGATTTCCAGGCATTGAATACAATAGAAACTTAACACTCCTTTCTTCTTTATCCGATGAGCTTTCTTTCCAGGTTAAAGCTCTTCCACATGCCATACGGAACAAGACTATCTCCAAAACATTTCTTTCACTCGAGGTCCTCTCATTAGGTCATTTGTTCGGACGTCATTGGCCATTTCGAAGGGAGCATACTTGCCAAGAAGAGGGTAAAGTTCCATCTTTCGTTGCTTATGATGATCAAAATATACTTTTAAATGTCTCAGCACAACTGACTGTTACTGAGAAGTACTTTAGTCACGTTGCAAAAGTCTTCCTCGAGGGACTTTACGATGCATCCAGGGGGGTGATGCATACAGTAGGCTGCAGGGAAATTCATAGCCAAAAGTTTATGGATTGCTTGATCGAAGTTAAGGTGCAGTATTCCTCCAAGACTACTAGGTGGTTGATAAATCCTACTGCCAGTGTATCCATTACTAGTCTGCGGAATCCAGAAGATCAGTTTTATTTCAGTCCAATCAACTTAAAAACAGTACTGATTCCATATAGAGACAACTCCAAGGAGGTCAAGTTTCGCCTGAACTTCGAGGCTTGTTTCCGTATATTTGTTCTTTTAACTTCTGCAGCTTGTTTGTTGAGTCAACTCTATTACGTTGAGCGAAACATAGATGCCACTCCTCTCATTTCTGCTGTTATGTTAGGTATTCAACTTCTTGGTTATGGTGTCCCTTTGGTCATGGATACCCCCATTCTTTTTGCATGGAAGGAATATCTTTATCCACAGAGTCGATCATTGCATACTGGATCGACTAATAAACAGTTCCAATTCATGATGAAACTTCTTCTCTTGATCATTTTTGTGCTTACTCTAAAACTCTTTCAGAAGGTATGGGATTCGCGAAAGATCTCTCCAAAGTCCTTATCTTTGAATCGTAGGCCAAATGATAAAAAGGTTCTCCTGTTTGCCTCGATGATCCATGTGACCGGTTTTGCACTGTTTAATGTGTGTCATAGTATTTTGGCAGGGGAAACAGAGTTGGTTACTCAACTAAACAAGTATTGGGGTATGATTCAAGATTGCTTTTTGCTTCCTCAAATAATTGGTCTCATGGAATGTAAGTTCAAAACTAAGCCTCTGAGTAAAGTTTACTACATTGGGTTCACAGTTGTTAGGTTTGTTCTTCGTGGCTACGACTACCTTAGAGATCCGGTTTTCAGTGTCTACTTTCACACTGAAGACAGGGCTGTAAGTTCCCAGTTTTTGTCAAAATTTGAGAATGTGGGGATGATGATGATCTTGTCATTTCTTGCAATAATATATCACATCCAACAGCAGAACTTCAAGACTAGCATTTAAATGCTGACTGTTTGCTCTTGCTAATGAAACAAATATTGTTTTTCTGCAGTGATGTTGGGTCATACTGTCAATTCCAAGTTGTTTCAAGAATGTTGAATAGATGCCTATGTATCAATTTTGTTTTGTCAAACTCAGCCTTTTCTGTACTATCTTATAGTCTCTATCCTAAGAGATTTTAGTCATGCTTAACATAGTTTATTTTAGGCATATGGACCCTAAGCTTGGCATCAAATTTTAACTTTGACCTCCAATTTTCATATTGCACAAACAGACACTTTAACTATCCAACCTTTAAATAAATAAGCATGCGAGTCTTACCTGGCAAAACGTGTAATGTGCACTTATTCTGCGCGAGTTAGGAGTAATTTTCGAGGCCCACAATGGTAAAAAAAGGTTGAAATGACAACTCTACCCTTAATGAATCCCTTTTATATATATCTTTATATTTCCAAATCAAAATCTCATTTTTTTGTTCCTCCTCTTTCAAACCAAGATTTTTTTCCTTTCTTTAGAACAATTTTTGCTCATATTTAGTGCAAATGGCTTCTAATTTTTTTTTTGTCATTGTGGAAAAAGAGCTATAATGAAGTTTTTCTTGGTCTGCAAACAATCCAGGTCGTTGGTTTCTTGGATGTGAAGATGGCCGGGTATGGTTCAATTTAAGACATCTTTTTTTTTGTTTAAATTTTAGTTCTCAACATTCAATTTTGATAGTGAATTTGTTCTTCTTAAACAGGTTGGATGCAAGTTTTTTAGGTGGTATGAACTTGATTATACTGAACACGCTAGAATTGCATTTTCGGGATTACAAAAGAGGATAAGAAAACATGATGAAGAAAAGGAAAAGATTGGGAGGAAATATCGAGTTTTGTTGATCATTGTAATACTAACTAGGATTTATAGAGAGTTCTTTATGTAGTAGATGTTATGTAGATTGGTTGAAAAAGTTATGTCGGAATCGTTTTGTTTGTAAAGTAGTTTTCTTTATGGGTTAGTGGCTGCCCATATCTATTGTAAGCAATCAAAGTAATTCATTGAAATGCACTATTTTAGAGTTGGCAAGAGTTTGTCTTTCAATATTGGCTTCAATATTAATCACTTTACAACTTACAAGGACATTACTTCAATATACTAGCATGATTCACACACAGAAAATGCACTATTTCATACATGCTTTGCACCTAACATCAAGGCAGTCTAACATCAATCATAACAAACACCAAAAGACTTCACAAAACATAATTTAACATCCATAAAAGTAGGGCACTAGCTTCATAAATAAATCCAAAGATTTGTCTATGCAAACATACATCAAAATAACCCAAAATACATCAAAATGATCAGTAATTGGAATATGCCTTTACAAAACAGTTATCAAAATAAACAAAAACAAAGACCTCCTAGATCAATATTTGTCCACATCACTGACACTTTAAACTCTATGGAACCCACTTTTCCTTGGATTTGCTTCTTTTCCTTTGACAATTGTTGAAGTTGGTTTCCGGTCATTGCATCTTTTTCTTTCCATTTCAAACCAGGTGGCTTGAATCCAAGATCAATATTTGTTCGTGATGGATCTTTAAATGCTACCACAGACCCACTTGAGATAACTCTTTCACTTGATCTTCCTGGTTGCATAATTCATAGGGAATTATTTAGTATACCTAAATAAAGATGTAAGAAAATCAATTAAAGAAGGCAATATACACACGTTAATCAATTGTCTTTCAGATTGTATAGCTGTGTAAACACCAAATCCCACATCTCTTGTTCTTTTTCTTTCAACTAAAGAAGTTGGTGGCCTTCCAACTGAAGAATATTTTGGTCTTATAGTTGAAGTAGATGATGCCCATGCAGTTGAAGAAGATGTTGCCCTTGCATTTGGCTGTTGCTTTTTCCTTCCTTTAACCTTTGAAGAATCTGCACATAAAGAAGAGGCATGTCCAGTGCTAGGCTGCCTCACTGGTGGTTGTGAAGGTTGCCTCACTGGTGGTTGTTGAAAGGGCCTTGCAGGCTGTTGTGTGGGGTGTTGAAAGGGCTGTAAAGACACAAAATTAGAAGTATAAAACTGATTAAAACTTAAAAGAAAGAAAAAATGCTTACCACTGATTTACAAGTTCTTTTGTTATCCCCAACTTGATGGCATTTGAAACATGACATCCTCACTCCATTCTTTGATGCTTTCCCCCACTTCTTTTTCTTGGTTCATCTTTATCTTTTCTTCTACATCTACCTGGTCTTCCATGCATTGGCTTCACTTCAAGAGGCTTAACTGCTGGGTTATTGGTGTCAGACCACATTACCATATTGGAGATGAGTTGTAAATGGTACTTATAAGCACTTAGTGTTTTATTTAAAAATAGATTGGACTGGATTTAGAGTCGCCACTTAATTTTTAAGATAAAATTAAGAAAACTGATCTTTCAAAAGATTAAACAGGAAATCAATTGAAAATATTTAAAGGGGGTTCAGGGTTCTTATTAGCATTTCGGGAAGGGTTTGAAAGCACCTGAAATGCCCACTAAGACGCGATTATCCGACAATTAATTATTTGGTTAATTTTCATCTGACTTAATTTGAGCAATTTTTACGATTTAGGACTGTTCGAAGGGAGAAAAGGGGAAATATTAAGATATACCCAAGTGCAATAGTTTACAAAATTATATATGTATTTGTTTATTTATTTATTGATCAAAGAAAGCGAGTTCTTAATTAGTTAATTGTTTAGAAAATCGGTTCAGAATGGCTATCCTTCGGGAAGTTAAACTGTAGTGATCTTAAGATTAACAACAAGTAATGACAGGTAAACAAATTTAAAATGATAAAGTAAAGAGGAAAATTCGGGCCCGAGTCTGGTTTCCTGTCCGCCGGACCAGTACTTGGGCCTATTTTCGTTTTGGGCTAAAGGCCCAATTTTTACCACCTTTGTACCTGTCCTAGACTAAATTGAATTTTATTTCTTTGAGTCTTAGGCCCATCTTCCACCTGTCCTAAATTCTAACAAGATAACAATAAATAAAATGACAAAGGCTTAGGCCTAGAATAACAAAATACAATTTTTTTAATAAAGAGTGGCCCTTTTAAACCTCTTTTCTCATTTTTCGTATACACCTAGTGTACACCAGTCCATATCGGCTCTGATTCCTGTTCGTCAATTTTTGAGGAACCTGTTCTTTGATTTTATAGCCGGCTGACTCGGATTAAAAAAAGGAATTTGAGCCTTTACGACTCTCTCGTAATGCAAGAGGAACGTGATTGGAGTTCATGGGGAACTCGGGCAGATTTCACATGCAAACACAAATAAAATCATATTAGCACAGGATGAGGAAAACTCTAATACGTTTCTATAAAATGAACAACATTACGGTAACCACTAACTTAGCACGACAAATCACAATAAAGTATTAGGGACTAATCTAATAACCTAAACAACTCGGCCAATTACTCGTTACCGGCTACAATGAGAAAAATGGACCAAAGTTGTTTTGATTCGCATTCACAACAAATATTAACTTTTTAAAAGACCAAACTATACCATATGTGTCATTCAAACAAAGAAATTAAGACTAAAAGTATAAACTAGATACTGTAGACACATATGACATATAAATTATGAACAAATTCCATTCTTTTAGTCTCTGCCAATTTTCAGTTTCATGCATACTCTCATATTGACATATATATTAAATGAACTATTAAGAATGTAGACATCAAATAGAGCCACAAGCAATTGCCCTTGGAATTGAAGAATCGACATGTCACATAATGAAAGATTAATCACCAAAAGAGATAATGTTTTAAATAATCTTGCAGACCAGACTCTAACAAAGCAAGATTTGGAAAATAGAGCACCGATTTTAACTCCACTTTATTAGAATAAAATAGTCATTCCTTACTCTCTCAAGAAGCTACAAACAACAAACATGATGATTGCAGGGGTTTATTGGCATAGCCTCACGACCGTATTCAAAGACATGCGAAGCACTGGAAAGTCCTGATAAATTTTAACCCTTTAACACAAGGGAAAATATTTAAAGGAGCTTAACAATAGCAAAACGAGAAGGCTGAGACCCTAAAGGACATATATTAAGCTCAAGTATAAGACTAAAACTTTAGGAAATGCATATTTTAACTTTCTTAAAGAAACCTCAAGGAGCAAAGTACAAATATGGTGCTATACTAATGACTCTCTCGATGGAAGCAAAACATAAACAACAAATATAAGATGGACATGCTAGTAAGGCAAGATAAATAAATAAATAAATAGTCAAAATAAGAACCACAAAGAACCCAAGACAAATAATATCGATTTATGAGATGCAGGATAGGATAACTAGCAATACGATATTAAGGAGACCTCGAGATAAACTAATACTCCATTAAGCAAATGACCACTATATCAATTCAAATCGAAAACATAGGACAAAACTTGGACTAAATACAACAAAATGTCATCATTCGCTGGCGCCATCTTTATGCTAACAAGAAACTGTCTTAACTAAGATGAACCAGTGAGTAACAAAAATATTTAATCATCAGATCCATAAACAATCATAACCAAAAACTGCCACGACTATGACACTAAAATGAGAATGAGCTTCAAAGTTCAATTAGAACAAAGATACATTTTCTTGAAGATAGCTTTAATAATCAGTGATGTAGGCCAAACAAATAAAAATGCTGCCCTCCAAATACTAAAGAAAACATTCAGATCGGAATCATGTTATAGAAGACGAGAGTGATACCACGAAGCAAACAGCAGGACAACATACATTCATCTAACAAATCAAAAACATAGTGCGAGCAACATTCGAGATATTAACCATGGCAAGCAAGTCATTAAATTAAATTTGAAATATCACAGAAATGACTACGACTTGGCATTTTTAAAGGGACAATGTTGGTATTCAGCTCGTACTTAGTCAGTTTCAAAGGAAAAAACCAAGAACATTTTTTCTAATAACATAGAAATCTTAACTAAAGCATCTACTCATGTATGATCATAATAGACGCCCAAAGATTGACAAGAAGAACCAAAAGCTATAACCGAGATAAGGGCGAGATTATCACCTCTTTTCGGGCAGGGAAATGGAGACAAGGCGAGCTAGCAGACGACTTCACCACGGAAAGCTCAAGCACAAACAGTAGCCAAGAAATCTAGACAAGCATATCAACCTCAAACACTAAAAAAATGAGATTATCTCCTCTGTTTTTCCTTAAGGTGTATTTAGTCGGTATTTTAGCTAATTTTGCTGCCTTAATTAAAATCTTTCCAACCCCCTTACAATGGAAGAGAAGAGATGTATTTATAGGGGGAATTAGAGTGAAAAATGGATAGGAATAAGGGTCAAAAACGGAATTCTCCTCCGATTTCAAAATTCAAAATCTGGAACAGGGAGCAGCTGGGTTTGCACGAGATTTCATCCCAAATCCCCCGAAATTCAGATGAAAGGATCGGCATGGACAACTTAGATCAAACCCACCGCCCTTGTGCTCGATATGACGCCCATCCTCGCGAGTGAAGGGTGATTTTTCGTGGCTGCTGCAGGACGTAATTGTAGGTTCGCTCCTGCTGCACTGTTTGGTGAAGATGGTGGCAACTTTCCGTCTATTTTGACGCGTGAAGGAGAAGAAATCGTGTACAGGGTTGGGTCTGCGTATTGCGCGTGCTGCTGTTGTATTGCTATCGTTGTTTACTGCGTATAGCTGCTATAACGTTGGAGTGTTGAAAGAGACCTTGCTGGGTTTCTATTGCTGATCAAAATGGGCCGGGTCGAGGAATTGGGCTGGAAATTACTGGAATTGGAGTGGGCTGAAATTG